CATTAACATACTATTATAACTTTTCATGCATTAACATTATAACTCTTGTAGCGCCTCTATTGCAACAGAGAGATATCAATGATGTATCACAACATATTGCGATTTGCGTAATATCGCGGAGATATAAATGATGTACATGCAAAGTATTGTTATTTGCGTAGATATCAATGATTTACCCGAAACATATTGCGATTTACGTAATATCGCGGAGATATAAATGATGTACATGCAAAGTATTGTTATTTGCGTAGATATCAATGATTTACCCGAAACATATTGCCGTTTACGTAATATCGCAGAGATATCAAAGATGTACCTACAACATATTGCGATTTGCGTAATATCGTGAAGATATCAACGATGCGCCAGTAACCTATTGCGATTCACGTAAGGCCGTGGAGATATGAAAGATGTACCAGCAACATATTGCGATACACAAAATATCGCGGAGATATCAATGTCTACATACACGTTGGTGGAACCACTTCCAAATAAATGTATTGTATTGCAGATAGTGTATAATTGCGAACTACATACCTATTATCAAGTACAAGGTCTGGATACCAAACCCATTCAAATGGCACGATGACACTCTCAATACCCCCGTAATCTGACGAATTCCACTGTAAACGATAGTCTGCCCAATACTGAAACCGACATACAATTAGTTTAAGTATATTACTAAAGACATTGACAAAGAAAAGGGCAAAGAGCTCAATTTACTGGACTGAAAGTCTCCAGACCAATTCGAGTCACCAGTTACAGAATATTATTTGCTGACATATCGGATACACCAGTGGGCCTACTAGTGGGTAGTTCACAAGAAAACACGAAGTCAGTTAGTATAACAACGGTTACCAGAAGGACCATAGTATAACATTAAACTTTTCAGTAATGAAGCTTAGAAGATCGTACCTGATCCATCCATATGCCTGTAGTGATAATCTGGTTCTTCTCGTCCTGTGTTGTAAATAACATGATTTTAATATTCAAATTATTTAATTACGAAGGCCATAGGTATACATCATCAAATTATCTTTCCCAGCTAATTCCTTGACATGAAACCAGCTTAAATTTGCTTGTGTCATGCCGCGACCGTTGCTGAATATTTGCGTTCCAAGCCAAGCTTTCACATTGACAGAACAAAAATCAGCAATGGCCTCAGCATGATAAAAGCGAATTACAAGAAGTTGATGTACAAGCCGTACCTTTTAATAACCAGAAACATATTTTGTTGCTAAAGTTGCGTTTGGGTGTGCTCATTGATTTTGGCTAAGCTGGGTGTGTTTATTAATGCGTACCTTGTATACATTCATTATGTAGCGTGGTATAGGAAACGTTACTACAAGTCACGTGATTTATACACAGTATGACGTGCATGAGTTACAATGTATACTTACTACATCGAGTAATTGTGTAACTGCTAGACCAAAATTCATCACTACGGTTTCGTTTGGGTTCTCCACAGGACGGACATACTTTTTGTAATTTGTGAATAGGTGGTTCTGTAGCGACTCTTCATAAAACGAAGCAGTGACGCCTGGAATTGTACAACGGTAGAAAAAGCACACGAATTGGTTAGAAATGAGAAAACTATATGCGTTTATTGGATTGGAATGTAAAGTTAAGAAAAACATAAAGCTAGTTAAATTATTGATGTCCGCAAGTAATAACATATACATCGATGAATATCTGTTTAATTCGTTTAAAAGATTCCTCTAAATAGTAAATAGCGCCCTCACACAACAATATTTAGAATGAGTGGTTGGTCAAAAGTTTGATGAGTCAGGTGCATCTATTGGCTAAGCTTGTTGTACATAGATGCAAATGAGTATAGGAACCATTAATGCTGTAGGGTGTACTGGGAGGGGTGGAGGATTTCATGTTTGTAATGACTGGTTGTAATGCGGTATCTCGTTGTTTTCAAGATGCAGCCTGATATTTGTTGCTTTCTTGGTTGTTCAATTGTGGCTAAAATTTGTGTGGTGGGTGGAAGATGTGTTTATTGTTTGTGAAGTCATTGTTTAGACACCCTGCAGCTTGAAATGGTATGGTCCAAATCCAAATTCGATATGGTGGTGTTGAATATCTGTGCGATATGGCAGTGTCGTCTAAAAACCACGCATCAAAATGATTTATGTTTATTTATTTACTGTTGTAATTGAAACTAGCCAATTGAATATGATGTCGGGAATAAATGGTTTTCTGAACAAGCTTTATTAATTATTGCTGGCAATATTCCAGTATGAATTGGGAGCAAACTGTGACACCAAATCTAGTCGTTGTATTGTTATGCTTCTAAAATATTTTTTTTTTAAATAAAATAAATTAAATAGAAATATTATGTGTATTTTTGTATGTGGAAACATGGCTTGCCCACTAAAAAATATAAAGAAGTGTGGTCTGCAGTTCTTTTTTTTTAAATTTTTTTATTTGTGTGAAAAAACTGGAGTGTAAACAATAAAACACTCACAGTGCAAGGCTAGTTCACCAACATGTCTATTCTCTTGCTTGAGTGTGAAAGTACATGGTTTAGTGACTACCTCTTATATTTTTTAATTTTAGAATTTTTTTTTATTTGGGAAGGTTCTTCTATAAAAAATAGAACAGATATATATCCATCAAATCCAGTGTTGCTAGGTGTACTACATGGACGTTTTGATTTGAACTGATGATGACAAAGATTACATATTGAATTCCTTCATGTCTACGAAACATGTGTGCATCGCTACCTTTCTGTAACGCTGTATTGTATCAAATACAATATTTATCTACGTATCGCTTCATATGCTACTTTCCACCAAACAACAAAACAGTCTATCCAACAATAATATTAATTCCAAATATTGAAACTTATTACGTCACTCAGCATGGTACCATTAAGTAGTGACTGTCAACCATTGTACTAACAATACTTTGTTCCATTTATTTACTGTATCGATTTGACGCGTGGTGTCATTGTCAATTGGGAACACAGAACTCGTTTAAGCTGCAAAGTGGATTTGTGTTTGAAATCGGTGATCTTATTCAGAAGGAATAAAAACTGTCAAACCAGACCCTGCGAAAACTTAGTTATTTTAACTCTTATTATTTTAACATTGCCTTGTCCCCATTGCTCTAAGAATGGTATTTATTTTCTGATATACTAGAAAACAGAAGAATTTTCGTCCAGCTAATTTACTACGAACATGGAGCTAAAATCTATTTTTCAGCTCCATGCTAGTTTCTTTGTCCTCGTTTAAAAGCACGCGGGCTGATTTACAGAACTACTTTGTTCTCTATTGGTCCAAGTGGAGAGTACAACTTTTCGAACAGCAACACTCTAGATTCGATCTTACAATTCCCAGATCGACGAACCGTGTGAATGTCCACTCTACAACACACAGTCCTCGATGTGGCTGCAGCATAAACACCAAAAACATGCGATATAACTTCGTTAGGGATAGACCATTAGAAACCCTAGGGGCGATGGCAGAAAAAATATGCGAACTATTTTTTTCCTTCACTTAGTGTTGTGCTATTTTTCAGTGATGAATTCGCTGTTTTTTTTCTGTGGGGTAATATTTTTCCCTGGGTATTATGCGTGCAGAATGTTTTCATGGTTTTGATTTTTGCATTTTTTTTTAATTCTGCCCTTACCCACAGAGTGTCTCATGGTCCACTCCCTTAGAGTGCCTCTACCCAGCCGCTATCGTTATTAACGGTCTGTGTTGGGGCCTCGATCGAATAACAGTGATCGGCTCTGTGCGCCTCGCACTCTTACCTGATCTCGGTCCCAAAACAGTCTGTTAATTACGTTAGCGACCGAGTAGAAGTATTCTAACTATTAATAAATATACATTAGGACATTTATTTACAGGTCTTGTCCTGGTAAAACGATATGAGATAGTCGTCATTCTGTCTAAAATTCACGTTTGTTTATTTTTATATGATTTCTACCTTGTCGTTGAGTACATGTAATCGTATGAGCAGCAATTAAATGCCTTTTTCTACAAAATAAATAAAAAATACTTGTAAACTGTGTGTCAAGTTTACACGATAGCTGGTGGTGTGGTCAAGTTTCCGTATATTTGGTACGTTTCCAGGGGAACTGGTGTACTTCATATGTAACGGATCCTTAACATGTGCGAGGTATTATGTATTGACCTATCCAATATCAAGAGTACCGTGTGTGCCTTGACCATATTTACTGGAACACATACCATTGGAGAATTATTGTTAAATCTTGTGTTATAACAACATGTGGGTTGTAGGCAAATAAACTGTGTGTTATCGGGTAATGACGCTAAATGTTCCGTGCTTGTACAATCGTAGCACGCTGAATGAACACCGTACGGAATGAAATGGACAGTGATCACTGTGGTACGGCAGGGCCAGGGCCAGCTAAACTATTAACATTAAAAATAAATAATGAAACCTACGTTTCATCATAAGTGTTTTTTCCTGGCACGGTCAACAATCATATCATTTGATTGAATAAAACGAGTTGTTTAATGGTTTGAAAATAAATTACGTTAATTGTGGAATAATGTTACATTGTGCAATCGCAATAAATGTCATGTTAAATAATTATCTTGATAACGCATACATGTAGCAAATAATGTTAAACCTATGGCTGTAAAATGGAACTAAAAGTTAGTTCCACGTCTGTACATATATATTGCCAGTAGTTATAGTAGTTTTAGTACTCCGATACAAATACACTTACAACAATTATAGTTGAACTCGACTTAAAATCGTTGAAAACACAGAAACACGTCGTGATAACAGTTAAACAAAGCATATACGCTTACGTATTTAAGGTATAGATGCATGTTCTTGGGCACTCGGAGTGATATTTTTTTTTTTGTATTTTCTTACTAAGCCATTCTTGACTAGAGACTGTTCAAATATTGCAGCTCAATCATTAGTGGAAAAAATGAGTTTTAAATACAGAAAACGGGCACAAACAATCCCCTTTTGGAATACATAGCAAGAATTATTACATTATACATAAATATTGAATAGACAAAAAAATAATTATACGGAATCTCCATATTATGCACTGTGTATAATTGTTTAGAGACTGTGCTGACGTCATTCAAAACTTCTCAGCTTTCATTGTCGTGAAATAAAAAAAAAATACTTCTTCTTGTTGTCATAAGAAGACAGATCGATAAATCAAAAGATTGGTTAACAAGTGTACGGAGTGCTCTTTCCTGTAGAGTAAGCTCCGACTTATTAATAGCGTGATGCACATACACTTCTGAACAATCAAAACATTTTAAATGTCATTAACCCTAAAAACAACGCTCTCAATCATGTACGAACATTTAATTTGAGTTTTGTTTATAGTAACGTATCCGTTACGCTAGATATA